AAGCCTGGAGCACTTGAGCTTGAAGACTTTTGGATTAGCAATCGCAGAGGGCGCACATATGTCCAGCTGCCCTTTGCTTTTTCTACCGAAAGACATAGATGCTCTGAGAAGATCTACCATATTTCTGTTGTCACTTGCTTCTCTCTTGAGATGACTCTGTCCCTGCTGAGACTGAAATAATTTTTAACTGCTTGTAGTTAACTTCAATGGCTTCTGCATTACTTAGCCAGTATGGTTAGTTTTCCCCTGCTGCCTGTTGGCAACTTCTTTTCCTCATTCTAAGGAGAAAAGAGAGAAAGCAGGATCTGTTGGACTTAGAATAACCTCCTCAGGTCATAGAATCAACTCATTTTTAAGTCAAGTCTTTACTGTTTCCCACATCTAAGCGAAATAGATAATCCATCTGCAAACCTTTTTACATGATGATCACACAAGGACAGAAGGGAAAGTCCACAGGTGTGTCCTCTGGAGTGCCTGGGTTCTGGCAGAAGTAGCTGCTTGGATGCCCAGCATCCTGGTGCCCCAGGTGGTGGGATCTCCTTGGGTATGTCTGAGAGGAACCTGGACTGCAAGCTTCCCATGCGGACAAAGTAGAGAGAGCTCCAGGAGCAGACTTTATCCAAAGAGTTACTCTGGCCTCAAGCTGCCGAATCTGTTTAATCTAAAGATGACTTATTTTGGTAAAAAGTCCATAAGCTGATTTTTAAGAGTGTTATCCTTGATGTGACACTGTCTGCAAAACCATCCATTGTCATTCAAGGAGGTTTCTGGACCCATCAGTTTAGTTACCAATCTGCAGAAATGTCTTCAGCATAAAACATCTGCCACATTGCATTTTTATGAAATCTTAAACAAATCTTTAAACAAAGTCGTAGACCGGAAAGGGAGTTCCATGAAGAGCTGCTTAGTGAAAGGAATTCTGGTTTTGCTCGCAGCATCGTTTTACCATGAGCTTCAAAAGTATTGCCTAAACAATTTCTACAACTTCATGTGGGCATTTAAAAATGAAAAGGGGATCCCTTCTGAATCAGAATAACATGCAGTTCTATGTAAAATCAAGCTCAATCACTAATTTAAAAGAAAAACAAAAAGGAGTGGGACAACTTGGAAAATAAATGTGTTTAGTTTTGAAGTTTCATTAAGTTGTGGGGTTTTTTTAAAAAAATACTTAAATATATCCTGACAAACTCCTTTCGAAAGAAAAAAATACCTGATATTTTCCAGTCATCCCGTTCTTTACATATTTTTTTTTTAATTGCATAATGGCATTTAAGAGGTTTGCTGGTTAATGTGGCATATATTGTGTGTTTCAAAGCCACTAAGCACTCAGTGCTTTCTAATGTACTTTTGCAGTTGATGATGGCTGTCTAGAAAACACCCCAGACACAGCAGAGTTCAGCA